TCTCTCACTCTATAAAAACCGTTCATTATACTTCATCTCTCTCATACTGTTTTCTGTTCCGCGATTTCCGAAAAAACGTTTCGACATATAAATAAGAATTGTTAAAAGTAAGAGTTTGGATATAAAAACATCTCTTTTGCAAAAAATTAATATGAAACAATCTTTTTTGACAGAACTAATATACGTCGGACGAAGGAAATAACTCCTTGGTCGGACATTATACTTTTGCGATTTTTTTTTTTTTAATAATTTTTTTATGAACTAAAGAAACATTCTGAACGGGGGGGGGGGGGGGGGGGGGGTTGATCAGATAGACATCTAGCATAATAATAAATACAGTACAGACTACATCCAACTTTCTATCTCCCTCTCCCCCCCCCCCCCCCCCCCCCTTCTCTCTCTCTCTCTCTCTCTCTCTATCTGTCAATGTTGTTCCGCCATTTGCTTGTATGCCGGCATCATTCCTTCTTTGAGATAAATTATGATAACATATCCATGATGATGAAAACATACATCTTAAATACTAGGGAACAAAAATAGAGAACGAGCGGCTGATAATGTCAAAATAAATATTACTGTACACAAATTATAGAAAGTAAAAGTTTTGATTTGAATGTAAATCTCAGTTGCATCAAAATAAAATGAAACGTTCATTATATCGACGGAAATAATATACATCGGACATTATACTTTACCACAAAAGGGTCATCTAGAAGTAGGTGGATAACATTATAAGAGAAAGAAGAGAAAGAATGAAACTTTCTCTTTCAAAAACAGAAGAATAATGGAGAGGGAAACAAGGACAAATACACAATAAATAAATATAAACAAGATAGGATTCTAGAGCGGAAGATGATATAGGGGAAACGAAATAGTTCGGAAGTATTGCCTAGAGAGCAAAATAAATATTCTGTTTTATTTACTAATGTAAAGCGCTTTGATCATGTTTTATGTAAAGGCGCTATATAATATCAATATGTATGAATATATTGGCAAATTTTGACAATTATAGTTTGTAAGTATGTATTGACAAAGTACATACGAATACAAATGACACAGAAAATTAATGTCTGCAAGTATTTGGGACCTATATAGAATATGTGAAAAGAGCTATATCTTTGTCTTTGGCCCATGATCCCACAGCTTAGTTACGTAAGAGGAACAAAGAACGTTGACGGATGTAAAGGTTGTTGTCATGGTTATACACCCCAACAATAGAAGAGCGGAAGTAAAGTAAGGGTATAATTGAATGACAATGACCTGGCTTACAGCATTGATGGTCCTACATGTATAACCCTGGTTTTTTTTTGTGTGTTTTGGGGGGAGTGGGGTCTTGTTGTTTTTGCAATCATTCAAAGATAATATCAATCATACAAGATAAAGGAAATGAACAAGAATATGTGATATGCTAAAATGTAACAGACAAAAAGATGATGATGGGAAATGATTGTTTCTCTCTCTTTTTTTTCTCTCTTTTCACTCTCTTTATGTGTCTCTCTCCCTCTCTTTCCTCTCTCTCTCTCTCTCTCTCTCTTTCTCTCCACTTTCTCCCTCTCTCTCCGTCTGTCTCTCTGTCTATCTGCCAATGTTGTTCTGCCATTTGCTTGTATGCCGGCACCATTCCTTCTTTGAGATTAATTATTATAACATAAAATTATCCCTGATGATGTACAGTATTATACCTTATATTTATTATAGGGAGCGAAAAAGAAAACGAGCGGCTGATAATGTCAAAATGAGAAGAATATTACTGTACAATATTCATACAAAATAAAAATTTGAATGTAAATCTCTGTTGCATCAAACTGATATAAACAAATTTGTATTATGTTATATTGACGGTACTATTATCCGTCGGACATTGTGCTCTAGCCAAAAGATATAAACAAACAAAAAAAGAGAAAAACTAAAGACAAAATCTGAGGTGTGTGGGGGGGGGGGGGGGGGGGGAGTCGGTGAGAAAAATATCATAATAATAAATACAGAACAGACTGCGTCAAACTTTCTATCTACCCTGCCCCCGCCCACCTTCCTCTCTCTCTCTCTCTCTCCCTCTCGCTGTCTCTCTCTCTCTATCTCTCTTTCTACGTCATTTTCCATGCCGGCATCATCCCTTCCTTGGGATTAATTATTATAACATATCCCTGATGTTATACGTCAGACATTATACTTTAGCAAAAAGATATAATCAAACAAAAAAAGAAACGTACACAAAAGAAAAACAATCAGAGCTGGGGGGGGGGGGGAACGGAGATAACTTTCTATCTCCCCCTCTTTCTCAAATAATTTATATCTCCTCTCACATACCCCCTCTCACATATGCCTTAGTATAGGGAACGTTATAGAGAGTGAGCGGCTGATAAAGTCGAAATGAGAAGAATATTACTGTCCAATACTTATAAAAGTAAAACTTTTGAATGTAAATCTCTGTTGCATCAAACTGCTATACAAAAATGTTTATTATGCTATATTGACGTTACTATACGTCAGACATCATACTTTAGCCAGAAAATATAAACAAACAAAAAGAGAGACAAACTAAATAATAAATCTGAGCTTTGAGGGAGGGGGGGGGGGGGTCGGTGATACAAAATGTCATAATAATAAATCCAACATACACCTGATCAAAACTAGTTTTCTGAGACTAAATCGAGTACAACCTCGCGATCTTGCTTTAGACTTATAATACTGCTTGTTGTTCTTGTTGACAATAGAGAGCTGACCTTTGGATTTTCCTTTCATGTGCAGTGAAGTGTATTGTTCCGCGCGTGCCGCGTGCCGTTAAAGGCTTTGGCTTTGCGCTGCTCCCAATTGAAATACCAGCAGTATTGGTATTCTGTGCATGGAAGGTCTCAGCGAAAGTCAATATCTGTGGGACAGACATCGTGAAGCTCCAATACGCTGCTGTACGAATTTCATGTGAGAGAAAACTTGACATGCTTATGAAAAAGTACAAATAGGGTAGAGTGCCCAGTATTCGGTCACTTAAGGGGAAATCACTAATATTTTGAATTCTTACCTCTTTTATTTGGCAATCTACCCATCAAAAGAAAAGAAATTTATTCCTTTAACAGGATTTTATAGTCACTTAAAATATAGAATAATGATAAGCAAAATACTTCCGAAAGAAGACGGAGCATTTTTCTGCCCAGAATTCGGTCGCGCCGATTAGAATTCGGTCACGCGATTTGTGCGTGGTATCTCCGTTGCCAAAGAGCGAAGCGTATTTGTGCACTATTTTCACACAATTGCGCGATAAAGCACTGAATGTCAATGCGTTGACCGAATACTGGCCGAGCGATACCGCATGGCAAGGGTATCGGATAAATACCTCTCGCACATCGGCAAATGCGTCATTTGCAAATTCACTGCGATGGAGTGAACACGGAAGTGATTCTCTTCACACACATACTAAATTCATTGCGACAGCACACGCAGTTGTTTCGCAATAGACTTCTACATATATATGGCTATGCATGTTAGCGCATGTGCTAAGAGAACGCAGAAGTGCAGAAAGTCTTGCGACACTGACCAATTTTGAGCTAAGTTGGAGATCTTTCCGGGGCCCTAAATCTGATTTAATTTTGAAAGTTAAGAAAAGTTGTTCAGCTGCCTGATTTGTGCAAGTTTTGTGGCTCTTAAATTATTTTTTAAATTGTTACAGCTGTTGAAACGGCTGTCTGACCGAATACTGGGAATTGACCGAATACTGGGCGCGCTACCCTATAATGTATAATATTAAAGTAAACAAAACAGGAGTAATGGATAATGATAGCATATACTTTGGATAAACCCTCAAATCCACTAGTTTAGTGAATTAATGGCAGGGAAAGGCAATTTTAGGCTTGTAAAGACGTCGTCTACCTGCCTATTATGGGAACCTGGTATACCAGGTTCCCGTCTGTGAGTGGGCTCCACGGGAGCCTGGTATACCAGGTTCCCGGAAGGAACGGGTTAATATGTTATTCTTTGTTTTTATAATTTTATCACTTTCTCTTTATTCGTCTTTCCTTATGTTTTTTACTTTGTTTCTTCTTTCTATCACCTTTTCTTAGTTATGGTATTCTTTGTTTTTATCATTGTCTTTCTATCTTCCTTATTTTATTATTTTTTATTCGTGGACTGTAATCTCTTTCTCTCTTTCCCGCCAAAACACACTCACTTCTGCTTGAAGAACGCTTCCGTGCACGGTTTATATTCACATTGCACGCTAGATCGGTTTGGGGTAATCTAGGAAGCGAACTGGTTCAGAAGACCACTTTGCGAAGTGATCTTCTAGGCTTCTGGATCGGTCCAGAAGATCGCTTCCGGCTTCCCGGACGGCTGGACCGCTTGTCTGTTCACACTCACAGTTAGACTGATCTAGGCATAGTCTGGATCAGTCTAGGATAGTAGGAAGTGAGTGAGAACGGGGTCCTAGTCTTGAGTCTGAGTCATGACACTTTACAGACTGAAATTGTTACTTCTATACATACCAACCAGGTTCATCGTTCACTGATTCTCATGTTCCACAGACAACAGCATTTTCAGTGAAAAATAGGCCTAGAGTCTATATTTGTTTCTTATTTCATGCAAACACCCAGTCCTTCTTACTTTACTCCATCGTTGGCAATTTTTGGCATGACCGGAAGTTTCAACAGGATCACGTCATCTCACACTTCCGTATAGACTCTACTGATGCTGATGAGTATTTTCAGATTCAAATTCAGAACTCCCCCACCACCCAGATGCACGTGGCCGAGGAGCTTCGGCGGGCGGCGGAGCCTACTATCGCAGTACATCGCCAGACAAGACACAGTCACGATCGGATTTGCATCCTCAAACAAGTACACACATCATGAAACTGTACGCGGCATGAACGGGCTTTTGAAAAATATATTATTAGATCTAGATCTAGATCTAGACTCTAATAATCTATAGCTCCATACACCGTGAACATACTAGACTAGATCAATCGTAAACATACGCAAGTTAAATATAGAATAGCAGGATTTACTTACCAGATGAAATTTCGATCTAAAAGGTGACGTTTCGCATCAAAACTAGATTAAAAGATGGGAAAACGGTCTCAGCACTTTTCAAATTGAAATTTGTTTACATTCACCAGGGACGTAGGGTATCTTCAGGGTAGCAAACACAAAAGGAGTATTTTGTGGGGAGTACGTGTTCGCATTTTGGTATATTACAGAAACTTTACAACTGGGCGGGAAGGAAAATTCTTATTCATCATACTACTTGACTTACTTATGATATTCTAATGAGGAAGATTAAGCATCCGTCAAAAAGGGTGTGCTGGTACATACTCTGGCATCCGTCTCAGCTACATGAGAATAAGTGGCAAACGAACAGTATAAGAGGTTTCAATATATTCATCTAGTATATTCCCATTTTCATCGTGTAATCAAATGCCCTATCGTGCAAACTTTTTTATCAATCAATTCCTTAGAAACTGATACACAAGCTAATTTGTAATAATTATTATTTTGGTTGCAATCATTTAATATATATTATGTTCCTTTCTTATGTTTACCAAGAGCTCCATGGATGTTGTATTTACTTTGTATAGTTCCAGTTTTTTTTATACATTTTCTTTTATGCAAAGAGGAACATATGCCGGCTTTAAGAATATTTTTTGTTTTGTTTGATTGATTTTATTTCTGCGTTCAAAAATATACAAATTCAAAGTCAAAGTACAAAATTTCGAACAATAACAAATACAATGAATACAATGTTTACAAAAGTAATTAAATGAAAAATCCGTGTACAATTATATCATTCGATAAACATGTACGAAGCATACAATAACATAAGAAATATGAAATATATTCAATAAATTAGAGAGGTAATTCGGAACGCAGGAGACCACCATCGTGAGCGGTTAGGCTGGAGATGGATGGCGGCCTCGTAAAAAGAATTGGCGACAACATAACTCTCTTCGAAAAACTGAGTGATCAAGAGGGTGCGGTGCAAGTGCAGGTACAGTGAGCAGTTGCATGATAAAGAATAAATAAGTCACGGTTTTGTTATACTAATTTAGAGAGGGGGAGCATATGATTGTATTATTTGTCGTTTAAGTGTAGCTTTTAAGGAGTAGATGGTTGAACAAGACTTTATGTTGTCGGGTAAATCATTCCAAATTTCCGGGCCAGAATGTCTAACAGATTTGTGTGTTATTGATAATTTGGGGTTTGTAAGATGGAAGTTTCCAGATATGCGAGTAGAGTATGAATGAACGGAATTATTAAACCTAAACATGTTATCAAAGGATGGTGGAAGCAGATTATTAATGTACTTAAACATAATAACTGCTACTTGAGTAGTGTTCAGATCGAAATTTTTTAGTGTTTTAAGTTTATAGAATAAAGGATCAGTGTGAGCTAAGAAATGCGAACCTGTACAAATACGTATGGCTTTCTTTTGCAGTTTGAAAATAGAATTGATTTTTGTCGAACCACAATTAGCCCATACACTATTACAATATGTTATATACGGGAGAACTAGCGAATTATATAGTAGGAATAAGGTTGCATGGGGTAGAAGAAACTTTAACTTGGAGATTATTCCAATACTTTTGGAAATGCACATTGTAACTTGGTGTAAATGATCATTCCAAGTCAAGGTTTCATCTATAAGAACACCCCAAAACTTGGAATTAGTTTTCTTCTCTAGTAGCATACCATCGATTTTAATATATATGTGTTTCTGTATTATGAGAATGATGTTTAAAATACATGAAATGAGTCTTTTTTGTATTAAGTGAAAGTTTATTGGATTTAAACCAATCTGATACTTTGTTAATTTCATAATTCAATGTATTGTTTAACGAATTAAGGTCTTTATGGGAATAAAAGATATTTGTATCATCGGCAAATAAGATAAAAGAAAGAAGGGGGGATGTATTGATAATATCATTTACATAAAGAAGAAATAACAGTGGACCTAAGATGGAGCCTTGAGGAACACCGCATTGAATTAAAAGAGGATCAGAATCATAACTATTAAATGTAACATATTGTCTTCTGTTTGTTAAATCTTTAAACCATAAGAGTGGCTGACCCCTAATTCCGTAATGACTGAGTTTGGAGAGTAGAATAGCGTGATTGAGCGTATCAAATGCTTTACTCAAGTCACAGAATATACCTATAACATGTTCTTTGTTAGCTATGGCACTTGTAATTTTGTCATAAATTTGAATTAATGCTAAGTCAGTTGAGTAATTTTTTCTGAAGCCATATTGATTTGAATTGAGTATTTTGTGTTTAGTGATAAATTTGTGTAGCCTATTATGAACGATCTTTTCTAAGACTTTGGATATACTTGGGAGTAGGGAAATTGGACGATAGTTACTAATTTCGTGAGGATCATCTTTTTGAGAATGGGGTTGACTTTAGCTAGTTTTAATAGATCAGGGAAAACACCTTGCGATAACGAGTGATTAAAATTAATATGTGAGTTAAAGGCTTTGCAAGTGGATACATTATTTCTTTTAGGAGAGACATACTTATTTTATCAAAACCGTGCGATTTTGAGTTGTTAAGAGATTGGGTAATGTTAATAATTTCGCTAGGATTTGTTGGATTTAAAAAGAGAGACTCTTGGTTTTGATTGGAAAGATAGTCTTTAAAGTGAGCGTGAGTTCTATTAATTTTGCTGGCGAGTTCAGGGCCGATATTCGTAAAAAATGAGTTAAATGAATTTGCATGAAGACTAGGATCATGTATTTTAGTGCCATTTGATGTGATATTATCCGTGGGTGGGGGATTCGTTTTTTTTCCCATTACCTCTTTGATAATTTTCCAAGTTGCAGTTGTGTTTGAACTGGCCTTTTTTTATTTTATTAGAAAAATGCAATCTACGGGATGTACGGATAAGTTTTGTTAATTTGTTTCGATAAATTTTATATGTGTTTATAGGTTAGTGTCAGTTGGATTGTGTAAATGTAATTTGTAGAGGCGATTGCGTGTTTGTATTGATTTCAATAAACCTTTCGTTATCCAAGGATTCCTGGGTTTATTTCGCTTATTACTCATTTTGCCTAAAGGAATATTCTTTTCATAATAATATTGCAATTTGTTATTAAAATGTTTATATGCAGTATTGACATCATTTACACTATATACCTCAGCCCATCCCTCGAAAAATAAATCCTGTTTTCAGCAATTCTATATTACGTTTGGATTCTTTGCGATATATAAGCTCATCAAATGATTTACGGCCAGATAGTTTGCATTCACAAGTTAAAAATATGGGTATAGGTGATCCGACACTTCAGAACACAATATTCCACCGATGGTTTTGTTGTTATGTACGTTTGAAAAAATATTGTCAATCTGAGTTGATGAATGTGGATTTATTCTGGTGGGTTTATAATAATCGAAAAAAAGCCGTATGAATGCATTAACTGCTTACAATTGGTTGAGTTACTGTTATCAGATGAAGGTGAGAAGTTGATGTTAAAGTCACCAAGGATAAAATTGTGTTTATTTTCATCCCCTATTTTATGAAGATAAAAATCCAGTTCGTCACAGAATAAATCACAATTAGAATCAGGGGGTCTATAAATCAAACCTATGATGACATTTTTGGCATTTGAGTTATTAATTTCGATAAATAAAGATTCTGCTTGTGTTAGTTTAATATCTGAACGGATTTTGAAGTTTATGTTTTGTGTAAAATAAAACGCAACACCGCCACCTCTTCTTCCTTTGCGGTCCGCCCTAATCAACTTATAATTAGGCAAATTGAACATATCTGGAGAATTCTGATATAACCATGTCTCACTTATTCCAATGACGGAAAATGCAAAATTATTTAAAGAGTGTAAAAGGTTTTCAACGCATTTGAAATTTTTGTTCAGACTTCTGGAGTTTATATGTAAAAGTGAAATATTGTCTGGTTTGTAAGAAAATGAATTTTTGAATTCTTGGGGTGTGTAGTATTTGCTCTCGTTTATATCGTCGACAGGAATATCGGGAGTGTGCGCGTGCGAATTCATTTAACGATACGTGTTATGTAAAGTACCGAAAATTTGGAGGATGAACAACTGCATGTGTGATGCTGGTGCGTTTGTGTGTGTACAAAGTGCAAGTGTGCGGGTAACTTCAAAATATAACACAAATGAAAATACAATTAGAATATACTGACTATCCGTAGCTATATCAATCATACTTTGGCATGTTGGTTTTTATTGTTATTGAATTAAAAAGGATATACATAACATGAGAGAGAATATAGAGTGAGAGAGAAAAGCAGTGAATAAAGACGTACTGAAGAATCAACCATATTAGGCCTATCATTTTTTGAGAAACTCGTGCCACAAATACACCAGGGTACACTGGCGTACTGGTGGGGGGGGGGGGCGCCACCCCCCCCAAATAAAATTGAACCATGACTTATTTTCACAAGTAATGTATAAATGTTCGTGATATCACATGATTTTCAACAAAATGCTTATTATTTCTTGCAAACTGACCCATTCCCAAATAGCCAGGAAGAGCATATGTTTTTTTTATAGTCACTAAGGGCCTTATAGTGAGCACTAACAGTTTTACTAATTCCTTTCCAGAAGCTACTGTGCAAAGCACTGCCGGGAGATAACATGCTACCCACCACTCGGGCTGAGGATGCACAGATTTACGAAAGAACGTTTCATACTTACATCATGTAACACTGCACATATACCGTTAAGGGGCCCAGTGGGGGAAAATATAATTCAGACAAGATTAAGAGTAGAGAACGGTACAACGAATTGTGTATTTCTCTAATAATTTAATGAAACGGCTAAGCTTCCGCGCTTTGCGCGGGGGGGGGGGGGGGGGGGGGGGAAACTAATTTCAGACTATAGGATTAAGAGTCGAAAACGGTACAACGAAACGCCTTAATTTTTCTCTAATAATTAATGAAACGCGAAAATGATTTCAGACAAGGATTAAGAGTAATAATTAAATGAAACAACAAAGCTTCCGCGCTTCGCGTGGGAGGAGGGAACTGAATTCAGACAAAGACACAATAAAACGATTCGTCTTCTTTCTCTAATAATTTAAAGAAAATTGAAAGCTTCCGCGTTTCGCGCGGGATGGGCAAAAATGAATTCAGACAAGGATTAATAGTAATAATTTATTGAAACGTCAAAGCTTC